GACATTCGTCAAAACTACATGGTAAATTATCCAAAACATAGATAGCATCATCAAAATTGGCACTTAAAAATCTAAGCAAGCAGAAGTTAAACGAGCAATGCTGCTATATCTCTCTCCATATCAACCCACATTGGTAAAATTCATACATAAATGCCCTTATATTGTATGCATACTGAATGTATATAAATATAAAAGAACAAATATATGTATATGTACAGGCACACACATTGACCAATTTAAACCCAACATAAGACCTTCCATGAATGACAAGAATTTAAGCTGAGTTTTCATTGATTTACATAGAGAAAGAGATCGAGAGAAGAGCCGAAGAATTATACCGGCGGGTCGTCGTGAAGCTCCGATCTATTGGCAGAAGCGGAAGGCGAAGCCTTCGACGCCATTGTAGGCGGCGAAGCTGGGGGAGGTTAATCCGGCCGGAAACTCAATTTTCGTTCGTATCGGATCCGATTCGTACAGAGGCAGTCCTGTGACGAACTGTAAGGTAGGGTTTGGGAGAGAGGATTTTGGCGGGTCGGGCTTGAAACCCTAATCACGTCTCAAGTTGGGAGGGGCCTACGGAGGATTTTTGGCCGTTTTAGAGGAGACGTATTTCTTTTCTTTTCTTTATAAAAACAAAACCATGAATGAGTGTATTCTTTTTTGTTGTGCTTTTTTTATAGGTTGGAAATTGTTATAAGCGTTTTTGGTAGTGTTTGTATTGTGTGTTTGTTTAAATGGTCAGCGTGAAATCGGAAGAAAAGTTGGATCAATGGGGGGAAAAGGTACAGTCATCGTCTATTTTGAATTGTCTGATGAGACACTAGCCCTTCGTCATGGAGAATTTTTACAGTGAGTTGGAAACACGATTCGGTACAACAATTATCATAATGTAATTGATTGAATATTTTTTTTTTCAAATGTTCAACTAATTGTAATTTTACACTTGATGTACTGAATTGTATTGCCGGCACACCGAAAAATCTCACCTTGACATGCACTCACATATGCTTCGACGATAATATGTTTGGACAAGGGATATGCAAGAAATTTTTTTAGGTTAAATGAACTAGAAATACACTTCAAAATATTAAATTGAGTCTTTTATCCATTGCTAAATTTATGGCTGATAATAATGTTGTCATTTATTTCTTTTCTAAGTTTTATCGTGCACAAATGTTTATTTATTTATTTATTTTCGAAGTACCATATAGCTTGGTTATATAGAGCAATGAAGCCAAAAAGGGATGATACCATGTAGAAAAATAGAAGTAGATAGTAGGGGAAATGATAACAAAGAGTGAGATTGGTGGAAATGGAAAGGGGACCAGATCCCTTTCTTTTAATCCATCAAATCAGGGAATTCATGCCATTGAAATTTGATCAAATGGCTACAAACAGGAGTTCCATTTAAAAGTTATAATAACTTCAGTCATTAGATTAAATTTCAACGACACGAATTTCCTAATTTGATGAATTAAGAGGAATGAATCCGGAAAGGATGCCTTTTCGGTGGAAATGATCATTTTCCATTCATTATCATATACATATTTATACTACATTGACAACAAGAGTCCTACGTATTGTAGAGTTTTTTTTTGAAAATATTCGTCACCTTACAATATTAAAATTTGAATAAAACAATAACAAACTAATCTTTCATTTTTTTTTAACAAACGATATTATGTGCAAAGCGGGAGAGTGGCTAAGCCTCACAATGGATTAACAATAATGTGGTTCAAATTCGCTTTTGACGAGAATCGAACCTAAGACTTATTACTTATAAGTGATGAGTAATATCACAAGACCATAATACGTGACTTTCACTTAAGCATTGACTCGTTTAAGAACCACCTTACCGCCTTAGTCAGCGGGAAAAATGAGGCCTGAACCCTTCTAAAAAATTACCCTAAAAAGAAAAACATGCAAAATGATGGTCGTTAATTAAAAACAAAGTATAAAATTCATCATCGTAAAACCATTGTATAACACCATTGGATAACATGCGCCAGTGGGGTAGTATTTCCACTCTCATTTTCTCCTTCCACGCAACGAAAATCATTTTGCGACATTGAAATCATTCGATCACTCTACTACTACACTACATAGGGAAAGACAAAAAGTTAGACTCTCAAGTTGAGTTGTTTTAAGCAACAACTCGTTTGCTTGGACTCTAGAAATTACCAAGCACAATTGAAGATTACAATCAAAATTAAAAGCATAGGTTATGTGAGCATAGCTTGCATGAACTCTGCATCTCCTGCCATAGCTCGTATAGTCTCTGGCCAAAGGCAACATTCAAAATTGATACTACCTTCTTCAGGCCCAGGAAACACCGTTAACTTCCCAACCTTTCTTTCTTGAGTTCTGCTTCGCACAACAACCGACCTTCCCCACCCAAAATCATTACCATACACATTGAACCGCGGCGAGCATCCTGTAAGCAAATCAAGAGTTGCTGGATCTCTTTGTGGTTTTGAAAGAAACGTAGGAGCTTTTACCCAATCCTCCATGTACTTCCTAGCTTCTTTAGCCTTCAGCGAACCAATTTTTGTTTATTAGGAAGGCTGCCTACACTAGTCCATGTCGTTCTCGCTCCCCAATGTTAACTACATTGCAATGGTTGGGAATTGAAAGGAAAATCAAGAAGAAAGATGAAGAGAAGAAAGATGAACACAAAGAGTTTTAGAGAGAGATATATTTAGAGAGAGAAATATGCTTTTGTATTAATTGATAGAATGAAGGTTACACAACTGTTTTTATAAGAGAAAGCCTAACTAATCTAACCAACTTACTAACTGTATTGCTACCTTGTATACTTAATACTCCCCCTCAATCTCAACTAGGGAAACCCAATTTGAGATTGGAAGAACATCTACAATCATTGAACACAATGTTGAACCATCTGCAATCTTGCAATCCCACAGCAAAGTCTTATGAGCAACTCTATTGACACACCAAATTCCTTATCGAAAACCTTGGTCCTGCCTACCACAACCACTTACAAAGCAGCAACCCTATCTGCGAACTTATCAACCTAGGCTATGACTCCAGTAATTGCATGAGAATCTTTTGACAACACATTGCTTTTGCCTTCAACCTGTCCATCATTGTTTAGCATCTCTTTGCTATTGACTCCAACTTCTCCAGCATTGATTGGCATCACTAAACTGCGCAATTTCATATTGGTTCTTTCCAAAGAATTTCAGCCCCTCAAACTGATTTCTACACCGCTGTAGCTACCGTTTTCTTCACGATAAGGTTTCCAATATTTCACAATCAACATTCCTAGAAGACCTTCAATTTTCACAGATTCCACTGTATTTTCAGACATTGTGATTACTCTGACCAAATCCTTCTTCGTTCACAATCGAGAATGATCAAACAACAAGCTTTACAATCACAGAAATCAAGAAACACAACCTTCTTCGGTAATCGGCCTTCAATGAAGAAAGGGAACAAGAACTGCACTCCGGCAATCGGCCTTAATGGAGTTGCACATAATAACAACAAACAAAACTTTTCAAGAACGTTACTCTGGTTATCGGCCTTTAAGGAGTAACACACAATATCTGAGACAAAACTTTTCACTCCGGCTATTAGCTTTATGTAGGAAACAAATTGCATTTAACACACTCTTGGCAATCAGCCTTTTTTGAGTGCATAAATCTCAAACAACCAAGAACTAATCACGCAACAGAAAGGAATGGCTATTGGCCTTTGTATTCCTTCAACAATCTCGCAGAAAATGGCTATCGGCCTTAACAGATAAACTTGCATACAAGAAACCCTATCGAAGAAAATAAATTTTCACTGCGACATTTAAGCAAACAGACAGAGTGCAGAATTTAGTAGCAAAGCCTGAGACTCGAGCTTCCAAGCTTGGCATTTCGTCAAACACTTGGGCTACACATAGGTCTAAACGTTCTTCTATACCAGAGAACAGAGCACAGATCCAAATCACAGAAAATATAATTCAGAAAGCTGCACCACCAAGATGAATGAAGAAGCAGATAATCAATAGTGCAAAGAAAGCAAACTTTGTTCTCAGTCACATCTTGTTTTCAAGCACCAAGAAATCAAAAGATCGACGGTGGAGCGAGACCTTTCAACTTTGATCGATGAGACCAGAGAAGTTCTCAAATCAATGGCCAAAAACATGTATAGTCTGAGCACACAAACATTGCAGCATGTATGTTGCCACACTTTGCAGATGTCATATGCCACCATCATCTGATTATTTGAGCTTGATTCTATAATCTCGAACCATGATTGCGGAGGTTCTTTCACAGCCCAACGGTGTCAAGCAGTCGAGAATTCGACCCCTACAACTCCGGCTTTGACCAAATCCTTGACGTCACCGACAACCTACTCGCCGCCAACCGCCAAAACCCACTTGATTGGTACACCGTTCTTCAAATATCTCGACCCAGATCCGCAAACCCAAGTCTCATTCGGACCCAGTTCGCAAACCCAGCAAGAATCGGAAAAAAAATCAAAATCAATGGTGTGAGCCGGGTGGCTTTGATACCATGTTAACTACATTGCAATGGTTGGGAATTGAAAGGAAAATCAAGAAGAAAGATGAAGAGAAGAAAGATGAACACAGAGAGTTTTAGAGAGAGAGATTTAGAGAGAGAAATATGCTTTTGTATTAATTGATAGAATAAAGGTTACACAACTGTTTTTATAAGAGAAAGCTTAACTATTCTAACCAACTTACTAACTGTATTGCTACCTTGTATACTTAATACCCAGCGGTGCACTTCACAATAAGGCCCAGAGCCCCATTCCCGATGTACTCTTTTGGCAATGGTGAGTCCATTCTTTGCCGCACTCCCACTGCAATCCGGTAGCTAACTTCTTGATCTGGGTTCAGATTTCTGGCACGCGTTACCGCTCGCCAACGATGAGCCATGAGTGCTTGAAGGGATGAGATCGTGTTATTGTCGGTGGTGCCCATCTCAACATTAGCCTTGGACTTGAGCTCTACCACTTTCTCTTTACGAAAATGAAATACTACCCGCTGTGAAGAATTCGGAGACGACAATCCATGTCCAATTAGAGGCTTCTTGGTCATGATTTCTTGAATGTTGGTTTATACTGCAACCAATAAAGATGCCGTCAACAAGTTCGGTGACTTGTACTGCAAGCAATGGTTTTGTAATACCCTTGTAGTTCCAAGCATCCATCATACAAAAGAGGTGGTTGACAATGTCATCTGCAAAATAAACGGAATCAAGGATATCCTCCACTTTGACACCATCGGCAGCTGCATGGACAAACTCAGCTTCGTTGCCATTACAATCGATGAAGAAAGAACAGGTGTTGTCGTTATCATTTTTAGTCAGGGCAAACCGACCAGCGAGCGGGTAGAAATTAAAGGTACGGGAAAACGTGGATTTTAGGTGGTCTATCAAGCTACTGCTCTCTTCCGTCTCTGCTGATTTCTTGAAGAGCAGCCCCTTTTGAATGTAATCGACCTGGATCAAACGCAGATCCCAAGGAGTTAACTCGATTGATCTGTGATTTAACTCATCATCACCGTCATTAGTTGGTCGGATGGTGCTGGTAGAGATGTGCAGAATCGGAGTCATTTCAATTGATTGCAGCTCACAACGTTGAAAGGTGATGGTTATAGAATATGGTGATATAGTACGGTGGATTTGTAAATTAATAGTGCTCACCTACCATTGATTTTGTTATCTGGAGGCGAAAGATATGAGACCAATAACCAAATCTTTTATCTACTTTTTAAAATGGAACATAGATCAACGATATAAGCATGGAGGACTTTTTAATCCTAACGTATAATGGAAGATTTGATTTTGTACATTAAAATTTCTCACCTACCATTCATTTTGTTGTGATGAGGCAAAAGATATGAGACCAATAATTCAACAATAAGTAATACAAAGGTTAATAGTTAGTACTGGTTATGTTTAAAGCTTATGTCTTGTTCAAAAACAGCGAGGAAATTCCATTACCAAAAGTGTTTAATCTCTCACAATCTAAATTCCAAATATACCCATATCACTTTTGCACACAAATGAGAAGTAACTCATAACTAGAAGAGCCAACAATAATATATTACTCCCTAACACATCACTAACACACCAAATACAAGAGTAAAAGACAGAGGAGAACTAATGGGTAGTGCCCTCCAAGCCAAAAGAGAGGTATGCATTGTGGAGCCAAAAATAACCGAGAAAAATATGGAGGCGACACGTAGATTCTAGGATAAAAAAAGATAAAATTACCCTCAAGGCACACCGAAGCTTCTACGCGCAAGCAGCTGACAATCATGGCTCAAGCAAGGTCAAAAGTGATCAACATAGTTATTTATTCAAAACTTATTTCATCCATCCTCTTCAAATCTTCCTCACAAGGTAACTCCTAAATTATTTCTTCCAAATTATATTAATTAGCTAATTAATTATTGATCACTCAATTAATTTATTAATTAGCTAATTGATAGTAATTAACACACAAAAACACCAAATGTGGCCCGTCCCCATTCTCCTAATAGGGCCGGCCACACCCCTATAAATACCACCTCATTTTCTCCAAAAATCTAAGTTGAATCTCTTGCAAAATTCTCTAAATTCTCCAAATACTTTTCCCTCAAAATTCTAACTTTGGCATCGGAGGTTCTTCAGCCAAAGCCCCTTCCATTCATCGTGGGCGCATGAAGCTCTTGGCCTTGACCTAAGGTGTTAATTGACTTTGCAGGTGCATTTTCGTCCAAGAACAAGAAGGAAGAAATTTGCATCCACAAATTGGTGCTTTCATTGAGAGTTTGAGTCACACACTCGTACAAGACTCTTGCATTCAAGGTTTTTCGTTTTCTTGTTCATTTGTAGATTTTTCGTACGTTCTTATTCTTGAAATTTTTATTTCTAAAAATTCTTTGATAAAACGTAAAAGAAAAGTACAATGGCAAGAGATTTGGAAACCTCGACGAACGGAAATTCCAACGTTTAAGAATTAGGACCGCGACGATCTACAAGGCTCAACACAACGATGAGTGGAGCGGCACCACCCTTACAGGGCACCACTGTAGCAACCACCACGGTGGCCACCCACGACAAAACCCACGACGCCAAGGCCACGACCCAAGCCGTGCCACTTCAAGCTTCAAGGGCCAAAACCTTAGCTGAGCCGACTCGAGCCACCCAAGTCCAAGCCGAGCTGGCCCCAGCCGCCCAAACCTAACGCGAGCCCAATGTGTTGCCAAACCGAGCCTTAGCCTTGTACCTACGTACGTCACGCGTCGAGCAGCCCACTCCAATAGCCCAGCCTGCTCCCGCGGCCCAACCCACTTCCGTAGCCTTCCAAGCAGTTCCCACCGGTCCAAGACCGGTTCAATTGTTCCAGCTTCAGATTTCTAGACCTACACTTGAATCGAGGGCATTTTCACCATATTTCTCAGTGGATTTGACATTTCCCACTCAAATCTCGTGCCCAGAGTCTACCATACTTCCACTGCTCAAGGAGACGAGTTCCTTCAAAGCTCTTCCAACCCAAATGGAGAACAACACTTGTCTCGACAAGTCATAAAGTTGACGAGCGCCCTCGCACAGCAGACGACCTTGGTGAATCAGCTCTTGCAGTGCACCAAGATGCAATGTGCCTCGGATGAGGTGTCTTAAAGTAGGATAAGGGCAGACGAAAAACTTTTCTAGCAATGTCCCGACAAACAACCACTCGACTAGCCACGAATCAAGCGTTCGGGCAGTGTACACTCTCGATTGGGCCCCCGAGATAGTGTATTCTCCCGTTTTAGCGCGCGGAGGAGTATGCACTCACTACTAGGCCCACAGACAAGCATACATTCACGGTTGAGACCACACTCCGATGATCAACATGGACAACTTTCTAGGTGAAGTGTTCATTTGCGACTAGGCCCGCAAGGAACATCTTCCACCTCACATCGGAGTAGGCATGACGATGGACGGAGAAGAGCAGTCACTCAATCCGGCTCAAGTTCAACCGACAACCTGCAAGGGATTCTCTTGCCTGCTAGGAACGAAGAGGTAGAGAGGCTCTTAAAAGAGCGATTGCGCAATTTTCAACGCAACAAAGTCGTCGATGAAGCACTACGATGAAACATGACCAACATGAGCAGGTCACCTTTCACAGACGAGATCGAGTAGGCAGAACCTCCACGTAAGTTCAGCATGCCGCACTTCGCATCTTTCAAAGGAGATGGAGATCCGGAGAGATACTTGAAGCATTACCGAAGCATGATGGTCCTTTATCGAAACAACGATGCCCTTATGTGCAAGATATTCGTCACCACTTTACAAAGCAAAACACAAGATTGGTTTCACACCATACTGCCACTATCAATCTGGAGTTTTGATGATATTTCCTTGGTTTTTACCAAAGAATACTCATCCTACCGCTTGATCAAAAAGAAGTTCGACCACTTGTTCAATGTGAAAAAAAAATCCAAAGGAGTCGTTTCGCGACTACGTGAAAAGGTTTAAAGTAGAGAAGGCGAAGATAGTCGGATGCAACGACTCGATAACATGTGTAGCTTTCCAAAAAGGATTCCCAGCAGACCATCAGCTGTTTGGAGATTTTATCATGAAAGAAAACCTAACTCTGGCAGACTCTTTCGCTTTGGCAGAGAAGCATGCACTTTGGGACGAGGCTCGATGAATAGACAAGGCGCCCGAGCAGCCTCAAAAAAAGTCGGTAGTGGCTCAGAAGAATAAGGACAAGAGGCAGAACAACAAAAATGGGCAGGAGGCCAAGCGTAGGGACCGACCCATGACCAAAGAAGGTCCGATGACTAAGAACTACTCTAAGTTCTTAATCTCGATCCACCAAATCCTTTGCGACATCAAGAGCGAGTCATGATTCAAGTTGCCGAAACAATCAAAGGGAGATACTTCCAAGTTGGATTACACTAAGTATTTCGCATTCCACCGAGGTCCCAGTTACACAATCGATGACTGCTATACTTAGAAGAACTACCTAAAGAAGCTCGTGAAAGAAGGCATAGTTGACAAATACTTGGACAAGTCAACTGCACAGCCTAGAAGGAACGCAGACATCGATGAAGAACCACTAACCAAGACGATTTGAAATGGCATCTTCGCCGAATCAGAGCACTTGGGGGCCACTTGTTACACTTCACCCCCGATTTTAAAGGTAGTTTTGGGTTTTTTAATTAAAAATTATTTTTTAGGGCCTTAATTGGTGAGCCCAAGGGGCCTACCCCCTTGATTTGTGTCCCCCGACCTCTCTCTCTTCTTTCTCAGTTCTCTCTTCTCCCTTACTCTCCCTTATGTTTCATTCTTGACTCTCTCTACAACCTCCTTCCCTGAGCATTTCACGCATACACGTAAGCATCCATTTCTTTCCGGTAAGCACCATCAACCACCACCTAGACCTCCCCGTCGTGACCCCAGACCACCAGGGTTGTCTTCTTCTTTCCCCTCTCACGGAACAGTGACACCGTCACTATTCAAAGTGTGCTCCGGCGAACCCCAAAATAGGTAAGTTTTGAAACTACTATAAAACTTCCCTTTGTGGTCCTTTTAAGTTATTTCTGATCGTGTGTGTGGGTTTTGAATGTGAAAACTATGAAGAAACAGTCGGGGACACTTCCCCGGATTTTGACGAGGAACCTGTAACTTTTGAGCCAATTTCTGGCTAAACCATGATGAGTTGGCTGGCGTGCAAGGTATCAATCTCTTCATCTCGCTGAGTACTACAACTTTCCTTTTTGTTTCACCCAATTTCGTGAAGTATTGAAGAAGTTACATCCATTTAAATCTTACCCAGTTTTTGGTGACCTCTGCGGCTTTCGAGGCATTTTTCAGCCAAACCACGGCGAGTTAGACGTCGTACGGAGTACCATTCTCTTCGTCTCGTCGAGAACTATGATTTTTTTTTTTGAATCACTTAATTTCATTGAGTATTGACAAGGTTATGAACGTCTAAGTTTGTCTCATTTTCTGGCCGAATATCCGACTTTCTCCTTCATTGGGTCCGGCGACCCATGAGTTGAGTTGGGCCAGCCCAACCTACTTAACCCCAAGCTCAAGTCCTTTTGAGTCTAGGCATTTGGGCCATTTAGAACTCAGGCCTTAGGCTCGTGTCCCCTAAGGTCTGAACCCCCTTTTATTTATTTATTTTATTGTTTTTTGGAACCCAAAGGCCCGTGGGCCGTGCACCTGGGCCCAGGCCTGTCACTAACCCAGCCCTTAAACTTTTCTTTTTTTTAAAAAAAAAAAAAATTAGAAACCCTTAAAGCCCAACCCTTTTAAAAGCCTAACCCAAACCCTTTTAACCTAGGGCCTTAACCACTAAACAAATGGGGAATATTCCATTAGGGAATATTCTTTCTATTGACTTTTACGAAATTTACCCAGGACCCTTCTTTGAGTAATTCGACGTCCTGAATTCATTTCTGACGTCCGTTTTCCTAAATTCAATCATTTAATTATAGTTTTATTAATTGGACCCTTTATGTGCTTAGGGGCAAATATTTGTGACGATTCCGTGTTCGCTAGTTTGTGTGGCTCTTCGACAACTAAGTATCTGTGAGTAGACCCCTTCTAAAATGCATGTTTTAATAGTA